AATTCTTGGACGTATCTCCTCTCACTAAATTCATTCAAGTCACAAGAATTCAGTGTCATTAGAAAGTGCCTTTTCAGTATATTTTGCCTTATGGCCTTAATAGATTAGATTAGAGTAGTAAACAATTAGGCTAGGATACCGTCATTAAAATTTTAATTAAATATGAAAATCTTAATTAATTATTAAATTTTTAATATAACTGTTTATAAGTAACTATTAATTTATTTTACTGGCTACAAAATACAAGGAGGTTTTCAATTCAATTGGTTTTTTTTATATTCGTTACCTAATAACTCCACCTTTTAAAAATGGTTTTGAAAAATCTTTCTTATCTGAAAAGAGATATTTGCAGATTAGTTTTAAAAATATTTTATCAAAATCGTTATAGTAGTTTAGTTTTTAAATCAAAATTAAATCAAAATTTATAATTGAAGTCAGTTTTTTTTCGTGGAACACAATTTTATTTTGGTTGATTGGTAGAGAATGTCATCAGGTATTAAGTCCGCCCTTTAGACATATTATAATGTGTGCAAAAGTATAAATAGATAAATAAATATCAAATTATTGTAATGCCAAAGATTTTACAGAATAAGTACAGATAAATAAACGACAGAGGTCTCTTATTTTTATATAGTACGTATTTGCGCAATTTTATTATTGGTGTATTAAATGCACGTAGTTTTGGACTTTTGATTGCTTTCCTAAATAGTAGATATTCGATTTTATTGATAGATAGATAGATAGATACTCTTTATTGTTTCCTCCAAAAGATAACAATAGTAAACATATTTTAGATATAAACAATTACAAGAAATAATCATAATAAAAAAAACAATGGGCGACCTTATCGCTAAAAGCGATCTTTTCCAGGTAAACTTTGGATGGAGAGGAGTAATTATAAACAGTTTGATTATTGTTGCTTTTTTAATGGTTGAATTTTTCTTTTTTCATTTATTTAGAATATCAATAGATTTTTTTGTGCATCTTACAATGGCAAACAAACTGACGGCCCACCTGACGGCCCACCTGACGGCCCACCTGACGGAAAGTGGTAAACGTCGCCTATAGACATGAACAGTATCATGGATATAACAGAGTGTACTCCATGCGTTGCCATTCCTGAGGAGTAAGATGTAAAGTCTCTGTATCCTGTAAAATGAATGCTAATCAAATAATCCAATTCAATCAAATACATGCTACAAATATAAAAAAGCTAAACAAAAACCCATTTGCCATTATCCGTCAATGTCCGAATAAATTTTCTCTCACAGCAAATAAAGGATTTATTTTGTAAATAGTGGGACTTTATAATTTTTTTTTTTTATATTTTTGTAAATTATTATATGTGTTGTCACAAACATTCGCAGGCGATCCATTTAATATTTTTTGTTACATACTCATATATTCCCAAGTGCGTTTCTCATATCCATTATTAAATTTAGGCAGAACATATTAAGCTATATTAAAAATCTTAGTTTATCTGTATTTTCACTGTATATTATTGTCTATTTTCACTTTTCTATATTTAACTATTTCAAGGAGACTTCATTTTATTATGTGTACCTATATATATGTGTGTGTGTTGTTACCATGTGGTCCTAGTATAGAATAGGCCACACTCACCTTTCCCGTGGATGTAGTAAGAGGCGACTAAGAGAATTTGATGGTCGAAGAATAGGCAGCGGCGTTTTTCTTAAAACATCACTAAAAAACTAATTGCGTTTGCCAACTGGTCCCCCAAATGTGAAAATTACTGGCAAAACCCCTCAAAGGTAAACGTAGCTTGAAGAACCGACAACCGATAGATAAAAAAGATTTCTAAGTGGCGACCTCTACGGGCAAATACATCCCCCCTAGATGTAGTGACGATCTTAAACGCACTGCAGGAGTCTGGATGCAGGTGGATGAGGACCGTTCTTTAAGGCAGTCTATGGGGAGATCTATGATTAGTAAATGGCTGACATGATATGGGTGTATGTGTTTGCGTAGATGCGTACGTGACAGCGTGCGTGTAACAAAAGACTTTAATGATGATTTTATTGTCGTTTTTGACAATTGTTTCGACTTCATTGTATATATATATATATATATATATATATATATATATATATATATATATATATATATATATATATATATATATATATATATAAGTGAAAGAGAGTGTGAGAGAGAGGGATTATCTTTCTGTATGTATGTAGTATGTATTACCTTTCTGCTGTATCATTGTATTATGGAAAACATTACGATTTAGAAAAACGAGTTATAAAGACGAATATTTGTTAAAACAAAAATAGTTCTTTTAAAAAAATGTTTTACGAAATATAGCGATCCCACATATACATTTGTATATATGTGGTGTATATACTCGTATATTTGTTTACTTAAAAAGTGAATTAATTAGCTGAAATATTAATCATGTAATAATAGAGGCCAGAGTTCAAATAGTAATAATTATTCACCTTTATTGTAGGTGAATATTGAATATTAACATCATGTTAGCTACATGCTTATTTTTTTTCATGCAGTATCAAACGACTTTGAACGTAAACATTTACGTTCACATATTAAAATAAAGCCGTTAATCCGCGAAACAAATGAGGGTCTCCTAGTCGCATTAAATGACACATAATTATTTTAATGATAAGCCGTCTGAGGGTGTAACAAAATTCCTGATACCGTCACATTCACCTTTATTGCCATTCCCCCTTTTCTATTGTTCTAACTGTTACTTGATTTTTTACTTAGAATTCTTTTATTTTTATTTATTTGACTTTAATAAAAAATACGTAAGAACTCTATTTATAGTCTTACCGATAACAACATACTATATATTTTTGTAATAAACAAGCAAATAAAAAGATTAATAAGACAGATGACTTATGTCTATGTCGTGTGTGCGTGTGAGCGTGTGCGTGCGTGCGTGTATGCACGGGTGATTGAACTGAATTTGAGAATACATTTTACAATATTTTAATATATATATATTTTGATCCCATTTATATCTAGTATATTTAAATTGCATCGCAATAGAATCTGCTATATATATATATCGCTAGTTCGATTTTTATATATGTGATATATATATATATATATATATATATATATATATATATATATATATATATATATTATCAAGACTTCAATCACTTCAAGAAACATTACGAAAATTACAAGAAATTCAACACGAAATAGAAACAGAATCACCAGAGGAACAACTTAATGAAGAAATAGAAACAAGGTACGACTTTGAAGAGAAATGTACAATTTTAAAGACCAAACTTTTGATACTACAAAACAGAAATCACGAACCCACCGCAGCACTACAGCTATCCCCATCACCTTCGAGCACCAATTCACGTATATAACCATTTCAAGATTTTTTAACAGTATATTTCTTATTAAACAACATTGAAGACCCTAAAATTAAATATATATATTAATATTCATGAAAAGTTACACGACCTATGCTCTCCTGAGGATCCAATTAATATGAACTTTATAGAACTTACTCGTACACTAGATGACCACATAGATCCAAAACCGAGTGTATGGGCATTACAACATAAATTTATTACACGGGTACAAAAAGAGGATGAAACAGTAGCAATGTACGCCTCCGAATTAAAGAAATTGTCCAACAACTGTGTTCAAATGTCAAAACTGCCATAAACCAACCTTAGAAAGCTTCATATCACTGCAATTTATCCGAGTATTGAAGGACAGTGATATAAGAATAAGAATCCTACAAGACCGAGAAACTCCACCTTTTACGAGATTGGTACAATATATAAATGGGAAAATCGGAAAACATACGAATGTCTACAGACATCCACAGATATTCAATAGAATAACAAATAAAAATAATTATGCTAATACATCACCATCTCAAATACAAAATCGAAGACTACCAATAACAATAAAAGAATTGAAAGGAAAATGCTACCGATGTGGAAAAAATGACCACCAGTCTAAAGAATGTGGTGCCCTAAAATCCATTTGCATGAAGTGCAACAAAACGGGTCATCTAGCGCGTGTTTGTTTACAAAGAAACCTAAATATGAATAAATTAGATGACACGACAAGTAATACGAGTGATGACAACACGGAGGATATTAATCTCATGAAAAGTGAAATATCAGAAAAATACATGATCCCAATAAAAATTGAGAACATACCAATCAATATGGAATTTGACACTGGAGCAACATTGTCATCAATATCCCTGAAACAATTCAAGAAATTGAATATCAGAAACCGAATATTCAAAACTGATATGAGATTAAGAACATACACTGGAGAAATTATTAAACCCTCAGGAGTTGCTTACGTCAAATATGCATACAAAGATCAGACCTTTAATGGAAAATTATATATAATCAACCAAGATGTTGACGCAATTTTTGGCAGAAGCTGGATGAAAGAACTTACAATAAAATTATCAGATATCAATATAATACGAAATTCAGAACCATCTACGAATCTTGATCAATTATTAGAAGAATATACGAACACTGTATTTAGAACCGACTTAGGAAAAATACCAAATTACCAAGCTCATCTGAATCTCAAGGATAATATACAACCTATATTTATTAAACCTCGTCGTATACCGTATGCTTTATAGGAAAAAGTTGATGTAGAGATAGAGCGACTATGTTCAGAAGGAATCTTAACTAAAGTGGACCATGCGGAATGGGGAACTCCAATCGTACCGATCATAAAACCTAACGGCACTATCCGTTTATGCGCAGACTATAAGGTAACCCTTAACAAATGTATCAAGGATGAACAATACCCAATCCCCATAATTGAAGACATATTCGCAGAAATGAATGGAGGGAAATACTTCTGTACCTTAGATATCAAACAAGCCTACCTAAATTTAGAAATGGATGAAGAAAGCGCCCTTCTACAAACGTTAAGCACACACAAGGGAACTTATAAAGTAAATCGATTGATGTTCGGTGTTAATAGCACCTAGCCTATGGCAAAAATTTATGGATCAATTACTTCAGGGACTAGATGGAGTCAAATGCTTTTTTGATGACATTATTATTCAAGGAACCTCAGAAGATCAACTCCTATCACGACTGAGACAAGTTCTTCAGAAACTCAAAGAGAGTAACCTGCGCGTCAATAGAGAAAAATGCAACTTTTTTAAGCGAAGTATTAATTACCTAGGACATATAATAGATGAAGATGGACTACATAAAAATAAAGACAAAGTGAAGGCCATTATGAAAACAGAGAGACCGAAAAACGTAAATGAATTAAGAACTTTTCTTGGTATGGCGAATTATTACAATAAATTTATACCCAATTTAGCCTCAATAACAAATCCCCTAAATGAATTACTAAAGAAAGAAAAGGAATTTCAATGGTCCTCCAAATTGCTTGCTCCAAAGAGCTTGTCTCACAGCTTTAATAAAATTAAACAGGAGATATTGAGTGAAAGAGTACTCATTCATTTCGATCCCAAAAAACCATTGATAATAGCCACGGATGCTTCTCCAACAGGATTAGGAGTTGTTTTATCTCATAAACTAAAGGATGGATCTGAAAGGCCAATCGCATTTGCTTCTCGATCACTTTCAACTAGCGAAAAGAAATATAGTCAAATCGATAAAGAAGCTACAGCCATCTTTTGGGGTATAAAAAAATTTTTTCACTACTGCTACGGTCGGAAGTTCACACTGATAACTGACCAAAAGCCTCTTACCTCAATCTTTCACCCACACCACACACTTCCAGCCCTAAGCACAATGAGACTGTTCCATTACGCACATTTTCTATCAGGATTTGATTACGATGTAGAATACAGACCGGCATCAAAACATTCAAATGCTGATTATTTATCAAGATTTCCAGTGGAATATGTAAAAGAAAATTCTAGAGATCAACACTGCACATTCCAACAACAACAAATTAATACGCTTGATGTCCGACCAGAACTTATAGCTAGAGAAACAAAAATAGATGAAGAACTTAAAATATTATTGGAAGCACTAAAAACTGGTCACTCAGTACGACAACATGGCTATAACGATAACGAACTTACACTTCAAGACAATTGCATTTTGAAAGGAACCCGAGTTGTAATACCGCACAGCCTACGTAGCCGTGTTCTTGACGAACTACACGAAGGACATATTGGTATTCTTAAAATGAAATTATTAGCACGCAGTTACATATATTGGAAAAATATAGACACAGATATTGAAAACAAGGTAAAATCTTGCAGAGCATGTCGATTACAACAGAATGAACCCCCAAAAGCGCCACTACACCATTGGGAGCAACCTACAGAACCCTGGCAACGACTGCATATCGACTTTGCCGGACCTGTACAGGGTTACCAACTTTTAGTTGTCGTAGATGCCTTCACAAAGTGGGTTGAAATCTACCCTACTAAGATTACTACAAGTTCGTGGTGTATTACTAAACTGAAAGAACTGTTCACTATATTTGGAATACCACATACATTAGTATCAGATAACGGACGACAGTTTATATCTCAAGAATTCGAATGTTACCTTTCCAACTGTGGTATAAAACACTCAAAATCAGCTCCCTACCATCCAGCGACTAATGGCCAAGCGGAGCGCTATATACAAACAATAAAAAGGGCGCTACGTGCAATGGAGGGGGAGAGGGGTGACCTTAATGATAAACTTCTGACCATTAAGACACGACTCAGACGTACCCCGACCTCCAATGGTCGAACACCATATCAGCTTCTGTTCAATCGAGACATTAGAACCAAGCTCCATGTCATGTTCCGTACCACACCACCACTAGCGGTAGCTGAATTGAACAACAGGCCTCCTGTCAAACAAATGTATATAACAGGTGACCGGGTCCAGGCTAGAAGCTCTTCAATATAGTAAATAGACTGGGACGATTGCACTACGAAGTACAGACCGACCAGGGAGCTGTGTGGCGTAGGCACGTGGAGCAGTTGCTACCGGCTCCAGGAGTCCAGCAGTGCAGAATAGCGGCGGAGGACTGTTATATACTGGCCACCAGTCGCTAGTTCGAATTTTTATATATGTGAAATATCTATTGACATGTGTCACAATTATTCTTTTCTAATAAAATAACTTATGTAGATATACGTATTTTATAGTAATATTAAATTATTTATGATTCCTATAAAACTCGAAAAAAAATTTACTCCCCTGTTAGTCCTATACATATTTAACATTTAAAACAAAAATAAAAAACAATAAAACATAATCATAAGGGCGTTTCTTATTACATTAAGAGCGGGCTCATATTCAGGTTATGGGCACATATCGCCCCTCTAAAAACGTCGTTTAATTCAAGTGACAGTGGCGCCGCTCATCCGATGACGATTAGCGTGAAATTAAATTTTCACCAGCCATTGTGAACGCCACCTATCATTTGTCATTATGTGCGAGCAATAAAAGGCTTTACTAATGTGCTGTTAAATTGTATAAAAGCTAATGTGTAATTTTAATTTCTTTTAGATGGTTTTTAAATATTATTAATATTGTTAATTTATTTATTATATGCCGTTAATTGTTTATTGCTACATATAGGTCTTCCCCATATAGGAAGTGTTATCAGTATTTGCCACGCTTGGCAGGCGGGAGCGCAACCGCAGGCTTTGGAAAAGTTGTAAAAGGGACGCTGCTGTCAACCCCTCGATATTAAGTTTTCTTAGTCGCCTTTTACGATACACACAAAAAAGAAAAGGGTAGTCGTTTCTATGCCGGGACAGTACTGCTTGTTTATTTATTTATATGCTTTTGGGCATTTTAATATAAATATTAGGTTATAATAAATATGTACACAGGCGGGCATATTCTTTAAAGGGATTTCTTCCAGTCAACTTTGAGAATTTGAAAGGAAAAAGTGTCTATAGGGTTGGTAACAACTTTATATTATAGGTGTGTGCCTCGGCATAGAATGGGCCACCCCTTCCTTTCCCATGGGTGTCATAAGAGGCGACTGAGGGAGGGCGAGAGATAAACAGCAGCGTCTCTCTTAAAATATCTCTGAAAGCCTAATTGCTGTTGCCAACCCGCCTGCCAAACGTAGCAACTACTGGCAAAACTCCCCTTATAGAAAGTCTATATTCAGCAGTGGAGAGTAAACATCTGATATGACGATAACAACATTATAAGAACATAACTTTCAAATTTTATGTGCCATAATTATGGAAATTCGACCGAAAAAGTCCAAATGGATTTCCGTTATCACCTGCCTTTAATGGATCAAGCCGACAGATGTGGCAGACACGAAACTTTTCAAATTTGTCTCCGCAAGCAATTATAAGTTAGATTCTCGGTCCTACCTTGGTCCAGTTAATAACCGCGGCTGATTACGTTGAACAAGAAAATTATAAAAAGCGCCCTCGAACGCTCGCGAAATACATTTTCTGGTTGACTAATGATTAAAAAGTAAGTTTTACATTTTCTATCAGAGTCCATGCTAATCTGTGGATCGAAGAGAAGGAATATTTACTTTAGAAGTGTTTCTGAATTGATACGACATCGTGACCTTCAAGAAAAGAGCGTATTCTTTTTTAAAAGGCCGACAGCATGCCTGCAATTCCTCAGGTGTTACGGGTATTCATAGGTGACGGTAGTCACTTACCTTCAGTTAAGACACATGTTCCTTTGACCCTTTGTGGTTTAAAAAAACTTTTATAAGGCACTGGCTAATCCTACAAACGTTGTTTTGTCCCCTACCACTACTTACTGGCCCCATTTTTTCTAATCGGGATAAAGACTCTAAAATTGAAATACGTGTAATATTTTAAACCATGTGTTATTTTATAGAAGTCGATATCACTGGTTAGTTGATTAAAATTATTTTACACGTTTCGCAAAAAGTGCGTGGATGGAATGGCGGTCAGAGATTGATGGTTAACCATCAATCTCTGTCCACCATTATTCCATATTAATATGGAAGGTTGTAGAACTTCTGGTAATAATAATAGTTGTCAATCTTCGAGTGCTGGCAGCCGCACGCATACTAACGGTAGTGGAATTAAATAAAATAATTCTAATTAACTAATCTTTTATATAACTAATATATATTAATTAATAATATATACATATAAATGTTGGATAATAAATTATATAAAAACAAACCGAGGAATATAGCGATCTCACATTAAGTATTTTATTGTAAATACTTCATAATTATTAGTAAATTATAATAAAATTGTACTCTACCAAAATTGCTAACTACATCCTAGAAGTCTATCTATTCTATTTAAGAGCTGCGCTCTTGTCGGTGGAGCTCTTGCCACTTACTATGATTTTCAGCGATTCTCTTCGCCTCTTGATACGACACGACACCAAATCCTTCCTTGATCTGCCTGATGTAACTATGTCTCGGTCTCCCTCTTCCCCTCCTTCCTTCTATCTTACCTTCTATTATAATGTTCATAAGTTCGTCGTGTCGTATCAAGTGTCCCAACATTTTTCTCCTTCTGTCCTCAATAGTTCTATTAATTTGTCTTTTTTCCTTAACCCTAATCAGGACCTCCTCATTGCTAATTCGATCCCTCCAGCTAATTTTCTCCATCCTTGTTCACACATCTTTCAGCACATGCTGAGTGGTGACCACGTTGGCAATAATAAATGTAAAGTTTTTTTGTTTTTTAATTCATAATTTATGTAACTTTTTGTTGTTGTCAATAAATGTTTTCTTTCTTTCTTTCTTTCTTTCTTTCTCCAGTACCCTAGAAGTAGGGTTTATAAAATAAATAAGTAAATAAAAATGTCTTACAAATTTCATAAAACTAATTGAGTGGTTTTGTTCGAAATTATCTTCACTGAACATCGTGCCACAGCATTTTTATATATTAAGATTTATTATATAGAATTACTATTTTTATTTGAATTTTTCTTCTATCCTCCCTCTTATACGTTCTTCGTGGATTTTTTTTCCGATTTCTATTTTATTTTAATTCGATTAGACAACCTGTCTCGTGCTATTAATTTCGTAAACCTGTGCTGTGAACTTTACAAAAGGAGTAAAGGACTATAATTTTGAATTCAAAGACAGTCTTAATCAATATTCTGGCGTACCTATGTAGCTAAAGCAAACGATTCATTACTGGTTCTATCAACTAAGACGTTATTCATCTGCTCAACTTGATGAGTCAGCGTCGCCTAGTTGGTATCTCGAGTTTATTTGAACTAGTGTTGCGTAAATATTGTTAGAATAAACATTGAGTATCGATTTATTAATAGTTAGTTTTTTTATCCAACTGATGGCTCAGATGGGATGGCAAACAAGCTGATGGCGATTATAATATAATAATTAATTATTATAATCAACTATGATATTATCAATAAATCGATATTATTGATAATACGATATACTATACTATAATGTAAAGAAAGATTTATATTATATTAATTAAAATAAATAACGTGATTAATTCCATAATCATTATCATCATCATTTCAGCCAATACTGGTCCATTGCTTTACATAATTTTCCTATGAACTACTGTAAGAATGCGAATGATTATGAGCTACCAGTATTCATTAACTCCTTAATATGCATTTCAGGTCGTTATTTCTTTTATTAAAATCTATTAATGCAATGTAGTAAAGAAAAGTTTCATTATATTCAATAAAATTATGCAAAATTTCATACCGACTCTATAAATTTAATCGATATTAACGATAATCCATTCGACATTAATGATAATCCAATCGATATTAAAATTATACCGATTGAACACTGTATGTAAGTTAATAATCGATTTTCAAACAACACTAGTCTAAACGAGTACTGAAATGAGACTTTGCAAGTCATTCGCAGACGGATAGTGTGACTTGTTTCAGTTTAAACAAATTCACTTTGAGATGAAACCTCTGTCAGCGCAATGGTTTTCATTGAAAATATTAAAAGGTACTGTGTAAATAAGACGGTTTATTTATTTAGGACAAATGATATTATTTTGTTACATTTATATTTAGAATTATTTGAAGTGAAATGTAAACTTAAATATTTATTTTGTTTTTACTATTTTTTTTTTGTTATTGATAGGGTCCCGCAAGGAAATCACGACTTCAGATGATAGAAAGCTATGATGTGGTCTAAGATGGGACTTACAGGCCCATAGCCTATTCACATTTGCCTATAATTGGTCCAGATTATATTTAGGTGGAAAAACATAAGCAGGGAGAGAGTTCCACTCCTTGGTTGTACGTATAATGAAGGAAAATGCAAAGCGCTTCGTGCGTATAAATGGTATGTCTACGACGTGAGGGTTTGAGGCTTTTGCCTCGTCTGGTCGTCCGATATCAAAAGGATGAAGTGAAAATAAAATATTTTTGAGACTTCACACGCGGCAATAGGCAAATAGTATCTATGTACTTCCATACATACCTTTTTTTTATCTAGGGGAAAGTCTTCGAAAGAGACCCATCTGCCGGCGGGTCAACGAATAAGTAGTGTGAGATTCTTACCCACTAAAAACCACTAAATTCCTCGCACCAATGGCCGGTAACGATCACAGACGGCACAGTCTCCTTGACAGGGCTTACATTAAGTGGTGCCCGAAAAACGCGGGTACCAACCTACGACTTCAACGAGAGTATCTTCATAAAAATGCTTCGCTAAAATAGGTTAACTTTTTACCTATATTTGTGTGAATAGGGTTGCTACATTCTACTCGGTATATGAGAAAAAATATATTGTAAATTGAAATTGAAAAATAAAAATGTAGTAAAATTCTTACAAATATATTAAAAAAAAACTGTAATAATTCATAAAGATTATTATTTTTATTGATGAATACTTTGATCGATTTTTCTGAGTATAGACATAAAATATGTTTGTTATTAAATCACTGAAAATGGCCACCAATGTTATTAATGCATGTATATTA